TGTGTGTATTTTATAGGTAATTTCACTGTTATCCCTGTGAAACTTTCAGTCAATAGATAGAGGCAGGGCTTGCCCTGTAGTTCAGCAGATAAATACTGTGTAGAGGGAGCCTGATCCCATGTGACTGATACGGTTCCAATCCTGGCCTTTGCCACCTGAGAAACACACTGCACATGCTCATGCACCTTCAATCCTGAGGGGATGGAGAAATGGAGAAAAAGCAGGATTGTGGCATGACTATGCCCTGTTGAAGGGGAGATGTTTTCTCTCTTTCTCTACTGTGTGCAAAAAAAAAAAAAAAGATATAACTTAAGACAAAAAGCTTTGCAATATAGCAAGATGAAAAAAAAAAAAAAACTTCATTAAACTGAAGGTTCAGCCTGGAGATCCATACTATTTTATAGTTAATACACATTCAGAAGTCTTCAAATAACATTGACATTTTAAATTATAGGTACTGAATTTATTATTCAGAGAAATATGGACATTTCAGAGTTTCAGAGGTACTCCAACAATCTGGTTATATCCATTTAAGTTCTCTGCCACCACCATAACTGCTATCACCTCAACCAAATAGGTATAAATCAATTTTACTACCTCTTTCCCTTAATTGAACCCTTCCTAACTTCCCTATTTCCCATAATGATATTTTCATTGCCTCAGTTTCTTAGACTGGAGCTCATCATTGCCTCCTTCCTGTCCCCTAGCCTTTACAGCCATCTATCTACCTATATATAGCCAGGAGTGTAGGCCCTTCCTGAGTACATCTGCTAGAACTCTCCTCTCCATTTCCGTCACTCATGACCTCAACCCTCCCTATACTTGCTTCGTTGTCATAAGTCTTCTGAGTGCACTACTCCTGGCTTCTGTTCTTTTATCCATTCACTAAATTAATCTTTGATCATGTCATACTCCTTGTTCAACATTCTTTAAGGACTTTTTGAGGGATATCACTGACTTTAGCTGATAGGTCAGTTTTTACACACAGCTATGGAAAATGCTAGGGATGCTGGCCCTGTCTTCTCATTTGAATCAACCCAATGTCAATGCCAGCTTTCAAAGGAAGAAGCCTCCTACACTAGCAGAGTGCCAGGAAGCATATTTTTAAAAAAATCTCTGGGTAGAAAATAGTCATGATGAGCTCTGGTTCAGTGCTAAGTATCCAGCTTCCAGAACAGTGCCTAGATAACTGTAAGTGCTCAATAAATATCTGAGGAATAAATGGTTATGTGTAGTGGGGCTACATAAAATCTTCTGAATTAGGCCACCTATGTTGGAACAAAACCCTCCAGGGGATAGAAGGTTATACAGAGTAGCAAGTTCTGTCCTAAGAAAAAAATTGGTCTGAAAAGAGCTGAATAATTAAGATGACTTATATAGAATTAAGTTAGTATGATAAAGGAGAAACTTGGTATCTCCTTTCTGATAAATAATACAACAAAGTCTAATCAAGTACTAGAGAAGTAAGGAAAGGACTGAACTATCTTCAGTGGGTGTTTTAGTGGTTCTTTAGAAAGTTGCTTAAACCCTAAGGATCAGAACTAAGATGAGCCTTATAAGGCTTTTAGTGTCTAAAAAAGGCTGAAGTTGTTTATACTTAAGCTTGAACAACCACCAGAGTTGAAGTTTAAGCATACTGTGTTAATAATTTACTTTTGGGGAACAAATTATACCAAAACTTGTCAGCTTAAACAATGCACATTTATCATCTCACAGTTTTTGTGGGTCAGAGATCTGAACATGGCTTAGTTGGCTCAGGGTCCCTCAGAACTATAGTCAAGGTGTTGACTGAGAACGTAGTCATCTTAAGGCTCAATGTGAGGAGAATCCTCTTCCAAAGTCACTCAAGTGGTTGTTGGCAAAACTCAGTCCTTACTGGCTCCTGGCCAGAGATACTATCTTGCTATTTGAGCCTCTCCATAGAGCAGCTTACAACATGGCAGCTGGCTTCCATCAGAGTGAGCAAGTCAGAGGACCAGAGAGCTCCCAGCACTCACTGGTCTTACCGCATTCCCCACTAATCCTTATGCAGAAGTCTTGACAGAATGGTGGAAGGGCCTCCTGAAGATTCAGTTATGGTGACAACGCCTTGTGGGGCTGGGAAAATGTCTTCTAAGATGTGGAATTTGCTTGAAATAAGTATTTAAAATCTCAGATCTGAATGAAGGGGTAGGAATGAAACTGGCTTGTCTTCTATTAACCTTAGTGATCCACTAGTAAAACTGCTGCTTCCCATCCCAAGACTTTAGGCTCTGCTGGTATAAAGGACTTAGTTCCAAGGGGAGGAATGTTTCTGTCAGGTGACACGATGATGATTCCACTGAACTGGAAGCTGATGCTATCATCTTCTATGTCAGGCTCCTCATGCCAATGAATCAATAAGAAACAGAGGGTCTCACTGTACAGGCTGGATGAGGGATCCTCATTCTGAGGGAAAACTGGATTGCTACTCCACATCATGGGTGAAAAGAAATATGCCTGCAATGCAGGAAATGCTCTGGGGTGCCTGCTGGTATTTCTGTTATCACAGTCAATATCATACTATAACAACCTAATTCAGATGGGATTGTTAATGGCCCAGACCCTTCAGGAAAGATAGTGTGAATTATTTCATAGGGGTAAAATCTTGACCATCTAAGGTATGTGGTGAGACCAAAGGGAATACTGAATGGGCAGTAGAAGAAAGAAGTTATAAATATAAGCCACAACTATATGACCAGTTGCAAAAATAAAGAATCTAATAGTGTAATAGTATTTCTTTTTTATTTTGATATGGATATTTGTATATACACACACACATGAACTAAATGTTTTTCATCACCTCTCTTATTCGCCTACCATCTAATATGCATCAGTAGTAATCTTTTAGTGTATCAATTATTAGATACCAAAGATAAGAAGGACAAGGACAATAAAGAGACTTTCTACGCTCTTCTGCAGAAAGGGTTGGTGTGTTTTCAGCTGTACACAGGATTGCCATGTAATGCTAGGTGGAAGCATGGCTCTATTGGAGATTAAGTCTGTGTTAAGGAGGTGTATATGAATACCAGCTTAGCAAGGCACTAACTGTGGTCCACAATATTTCCCAGAACTGCTTTTCTTGCAAGTTTCTAATTACAATAGCACCCAAGAGAGATTTTGTGTGTCGAGTACTTAAAGTAAATCAGCAGCCACTTCTAGCTTACACAAGATGTCACTTACCTGTTGACCTGCCATGTCACCTGAGGTAATCACTAGGACTGCAGCAGCTCCACATTTCTATAGCTTCTCCCTCACCATCTCTGCCTCCTGGAGTAGGGGTGTATAGGGGTGTATGTGTGTGTGTGCCTGTGTGTGTGTTTGGGTTTATGACAAGAGCACAAGCTACTATGGGATACCCACACCACCAAAAGCAGTAAGAACTGACATGGGTTTAAGACTATCTTCATAACTCCACTCTTACTTATGGGTTCTAGATCATTCTTGTTTCCTGTCACTTCACATCCATCTTCACTCACCACTTGTCTGCTCAGCAGACTCTGCCTTAGCATCAGATGCAAAGTCAGCATCTTTACAGAGATGGCTTAACAAGCTCTGGTCAAATCCCAGTATCAAAGCCTTTCCTATAGACAGTCTATTTTTGTAGAGTCTCTGTTTGAAAATTCACCTACTCACTCAAGCTTATTTGTAACTCCAATATCAATAGTCATTTACAGACATGCACATGTACAGAGTGGCAAATTCATCTGTTCCTAGATAAAGTTAAACAAGGCCATGTTCTGTCTTCTTTTAGCCCCCCTATTATAAACAGAAGTCCTTTTCACATACTCTTTAGTACCACACTTTTGATGTTTCTGTGCTTTCGTTGTTGATATCAGTTTAAAATGGTATCTTTACAAAGGTACCATGCTGCTTAGGTTCCTAAACACAAGGCTGTGAAGTGTCTTACACCATCTGAGGGTCCCTATTTTTTAAAGTTTGACTGGAGAGAGAGAGAGAAAGGGGAAAGTGAGAAAGCAAGCCACCAGGTCCAGGACATGAACCAAATCAGCCTTGTGGGTGTCCAGTGCCTTAACCACCAGGCTGCCTGCTGGCCCCAGTTAAGTTTAGTTTTAACAATAGTACTTTACCTAGAATTTGAAGTATTCCCCAATTGACTTCATTCTAATATGTAGCTATGTCTGCACTGTAAGTACTTAATGATTAGCTACCACCTGCGACTGTTACATGGTCAAACATTGCTCGTTCTCTAGCATCCATAGGCAGACCAAGCCGTATCTCTGTTATTAGCCATAACTAGACACCACTGTTCACTTTGTCTTACCACCTAAATTGGGTGGGAACTGTGAAAGCCAAAACTACAAAGCCATGTTGCATGCCACTCTTGCTTCTGACTTAAAGACCAGGTACAAACCCTGCAAGCTGGAAATCAATGCCATTCTTAAATTTTCTGGAGTCCAGCTGCTTCCTGAGGTTTTCACCTCTTTCTCTTCAATAGGCAGGCCAGTCTTGCCTTTGCTCCCTGTGAACGTCTTCAGCTCCATTCCAGCCCTTCCTCCTCACATTGCTCTGTTTCTTTACCCTAGGATGCCATCATGCATGCTTTCCCACAACCCAAATCCTATCAAACACATGACGTCCAGTTAAAACCTTCGAATGAACAGTATTTTTTTTCTAAAGACACTACGCAATAGCCTTGACTGCCAGTCACATAAATACATTGATATTCTTTTAGGTATTTAGGTATATATGCCATATCCCCCAAGCTCCAACAGGAACCACTGTGTCCATTACTCTTGAATGGTTCACCAATTCCTCTACCGGAGTATGTGGGTAAGCATGTAAGTTACTTAAAACACATTTTTGGTAGTGCAGTGGATACATGGCATACATTACCATTAATTCACCCAAAGTAGAACAACATATTCAATTCACAAAATAGAATCTACATTTCATCAGCATATTCTTGACCTTAAAAAAAAAAAGAAAGAAAGAAACTACATCTTTCAGCAGACACATACCTGCTGAGACTCGGGGACAGTCGGGTAGCATGGATTCCACCGACGTGTCTAATGGTTCTGAGCTAGAAACCCAATTGCAACAGTTCTGTAATACAACAGAGACAGTATTGTTGAAACTATTTGTGATCACATTATTAGGCTGAAGACATTAATTCGTCATATAATATCAACTACTAGAAGTGTTGAACTCATTTTCCACACACTTAAAATTTTGTCTTACGTAAACAGTAATTAATCATGAGTAATGTGACTATGAAAATAGGTTTATTTTTTATAATTTATTAAATCATCTGTGCTCATGTTAAGAAGACAGGGAATGGTCTGTGAGCTGCAATGCAATATGTTTCTAAGAGAAGGTTAGTTGTCTAAGAAGTAAATAAAGGGGGCATAGGGGAAATTGAAAAGGTGTCCACTTTTAACTTTCAGATTGAAATAAACATTAATTTGAACATGTGAAAGAGTACCTAATTTTAAACTATATTCTTTTTGTGTAACACCAAGAGAAATGAACTTTGCATTTGTGTCTCAAAATACTGTATTTTAATACTTTGACCTGCTTCCATGAAGGCTTTATGAGAATAGCTACAAAGATACACAGCCTGGTGAAGTGTAACTGTGTTTCTGAGGACACAATGCCTCCAATATCAAAAGTCAACCTCCAAGGTAAAGATGATTTACAGCTCAGACAAAATGAAATAAAAATAATTGATTTCTTTTATACATTTTAAGAATGTATTTGAAATCTGGCTCAAAAAATGTGATTCACCTCCTATGGGTTTTTTAAAATTTTTACAACACACACACAAACAACATAACGAATTTCCAGACAGATTTTATTTTAAAAGAAATCATCCCATCAATCATGTTGGAAAAATCAGTGATTGCTATTCTGGTAAACAAGCATGCATTGTGTATTTTTAGATGCTTGCTGCCCTGGTTGTGCACCATGGAATCCGTCCTCACTGTGGAAAGATCCTTGACTGGTAGATCAAGTGTCTTATTGTATTTCCTTAATTCATTCTGTCTGGAAGAAGATGTCAGCTGTGTTGCAGTGAGGAGAGAATTTCAAAGGCCCCAGTCCCCACCAATAAAGGCCGAGGAATGGCTTTTGAATAGATTTGTCAAGGCAACCCTACTGTTCGGGGACCAGGGAGAGCAGGAATAACATAAAGGAAGGGTTGCTGTATGAGATTAGAAAGTGAAGTTCACAAAGCATGGCAGATTTTTGTAAGAAACAGTGGATCAATGAAACTATTGAACTGTGTAGGGGAAAAAAAAAACATGAAAACAAACACAACATCTAGTAATGTTCTTAAATGCTTTCTCGTTTTTTACACTTAAAACGGATAAAATATTAGTATTTTTCATGTATTACAAAAGCTGGATGGTTTAAAGTATCTACTTTATTCTATAACGTGTACTCCTAATCTTAATTAGCAGCTGAATGCAGAATTGTACAATGTAAGAGAGTAGAAATTATAAAAGAAAGAGGTTTTTAGAAGATATTTCATACATTTGAAATAAGTAAAATTAATATTACCACTGATAGAACACCACATCAGAGAGTTGTAGATAATGCAGAAGATTAGCACACAATTAGCCAGCTTTTATATACAGTGTGACACTTGCTTGTAAGAAGTAAGTATTCTCCAAAGCAGTGTCAAGATATGTAAATGGATGATTTGTTTTATCATTCATCACAGCCCCTAATAAATTCAAAAATCATGACTTCTATAGATACTAAAAATAGGCTCCCAATGATACAGGGAGATAGCTTCAATGAAGGATGACTTTCTTTTTCTCTCTCCTTTTCTTAAACAATTCAGTCTTTTCAATGACAGCAATTAGCACTACCGACAGACAGGCAGCGATTAGGTATATATTTTAATTATTATTCATCCTACTAGTACCTCGAAATCAGATGAAAGTCGGCTATTACCCAGGTGATGTGTCAGTCTTAATCCTGCTCACCTACGCTTTACAAATGTAAACTATGTCTTAAAGGATTTTCTAGTATTAGTAAAAGTGATGACACATTATAACATGCAGGCAATTAATTGCTTTCCAGCTTCTTATCGACTTTAAAAACCTGAACAAAATGACCTTCTGTCCATTTTGTCCAGGTTACCTTCACTCAAACCCTTCAATCAAATACAGGTTAACATTTTATGATTCCGAAATTTCAGTTTTTATCTAGGCCATATTGAAGGCTTTGATCTCTTATAAAACTTGGATAGACATTAAATACCCTGTATGTTATAGTGAATATGCCCAGTTCTGTGGAACAAAAAAAGTAGCTGTGTAGGAATGTAGATGTTTGATACTACGGGTCCCAAGGATGTATGAATGTGGGTGCAGGTGTGCATGCATGTGGCATTTTACCCCATCAGGAAAAGAATACAGAAAAAAGGACAAACTAAAAATGTTTACCATATAATAAAGTATAATGAAGTAAAATAGCAAACACATTGGAAAATACATGTAAAGAAAGATATATACTTCATATGAATAAAGATATTTATTACATATTAAATAAATCTGTCTGAAATCCCATTGTATCAAATGTAACTTCCTTATTCTGAGATGTGTTTCTATAGTTTAGAAGTCGAATATCTTTTACTGCCTTTCAAATGTTTATTTATACCTCTTTTCTTTTTTGAAAATTATTTGTTTAATTTTATTCATTATTATTATTTTTTAACTTGACCAGAGAGAGAAAGAGGGAAAGTGAGGGAGCAAGCCACCAAGTCTGGGACTTGAACTGCGGTTGGCCATGTGGAAGTCCAGCACCTTAACTACTGTGCTACCTGCTGGTTTCTATTTATATCTCTTTTCAATGCCTCAGTTTGTTCCTGACCCCGTTCTTCAAATGAGAACAGTACTGAAATGGCCTGGGGACTGACATAAGGAGTCTGATGGGAGGCTCTATCTAAATTCAAACCATGCTAGAGGTGTTAGGAGACCCTGAAATCTAATTTCAGGTGCCCAGGATCGGTGAGGCACGTTGGACTAGAGGTGCCAATATACCATGCTTCAGTCTCAGATGCAGCCTCATATCGCCTCAACAAATTGGTGTAGAGAAAGAAGATGTCGTTGGCCAGAGCCAGCAGATTGAGATGGGACATGTAACCAGTTTCTCTGTGTCTGAAAGAAAGTGAAAAATAGCCAGTGTAGTGAGTGTTTTTAATTTAAAAACAATTTGCTATTGGGTACATGTGCTTACCAGAGAGAGAGAGAGAGAGAGACAGAGGGAAAGTGAGAAAGCACCCCCAAGGGTGTGAGGGCCATGTCACAATCCCTTCTCCTTTATTCTCTTAGGATTCTGAGCATGCACACACACGTGCCAGGTGTATTTTTCAAGCCACTGGGTCTGGGACTTGACCTGAACTGCAGAATTGGCTATGTGGGATCTAGCCACTTTCACCATGCCACCAGCTGGCCTTCAATTAAAACTTTTTTTACTCTGAGATTAAGGCCTTACAGATCTTTGTGGTTGTATATCTTCCTCTTTGTAAAATCAAAAAGTTCGGCAACTATGAATAAGGATTAGAAGTGCTTATAGGCCATAATGCTGAATGACTCCCTTTGACATTTTTAAAAAATAATTATTTACTTAATTTTATTTATTATTATTATTTTTGAATTTGCCATAGGGCACATGCACTCATCAAAGAGACGGAGAAAGAAAGTGAGAAAGTAAGCTGCCAGGTCTGGGCCTTGAACTGTGGTTGACCACGTGGTAGTTCAGCACCTTAACCACCTTGCTACCTGCTGACTCCTCCCTTAGACATTTGAACTAAGGGTTATCAATAGTTCAGAGCAGATATAAAATATATGAAAATTTTAAATAAAATGGTTAGAATTTTATGTGTTTGAACAGAAAAGTAGGTAGTAACTATTTCTATACAAGGCGTTTGGAGGATTTGAAGACGCTTGCTGCACTGACCAAGTCTTATTTCCACTCATTTTTATTGCATTTCTTTGTGTTGTATTATAAATCATCATTTCTTTAGAGATTGATTGTATTTCTTTTTTAATAGAGATTTTTTTTTTCTATAGGCTACATGTACTCATGCTGGAGACACAGAGATAGAGAGACAGAAAGCAAGAAATCACATCCCAGGGAGGATGGCCATGCCACAATCCCTTCTCCTCCAATCATCCCCTTGGGATTTGGGGCATGCATGCACATGCGCCTGGTGTGAGTTTTAAGTCACTGGGTCTGGGACTTGAATTGCAGTTTACTATGTGGGAGTCTAGTGAAGTAACCGTTATGTCAACCGCTGGCTCTGAGGTTGATTGTTCTTAAAGAATTATTCATGTTTTAAATTTTAATTGTTACTATTTTTTAATTTGACCAAAGAGAGACAGAGAGAGAGAAAAAGGGAAAGTGAGAAAGTAAGCCACCAGGTCTGGCACTTGAACTGTGGTCAGCATGTGGGAGTCCAGTGCCTTAATACCATGACATCTACTGGCCCCTATAAGTTGTTTTTTTTTTTTTTTTTTAAGAATTATTTTATTTAACATTTATTTATTTATTTGACTTTGACCACAGAGGGACAGAGTGAGAGAGAGAGACAAAAGGAAAGTGAGAAAGCAAGCTGCCAGGTCTGGGACTAGAACTGCAGTCTGCTATGTGAGAGTCCAGAACCCTTAACCATCACGCCACCTGCTGGCCTCAGAAGTTGATTTTTAGTATGGAAGGTTTGGTGTCCTCAGACAAGTACAACTTTGATTTGACTGCGTTGTATTTCTAGGGCCTACCTACACGCAGCGCTAAATGGAGAGTAAGTTCACGACCATCAAGGAGAGCTGTATCTGGCTGGGTGCAGACTTTCAGAGGCCAGGGGCAGGCCAGGAAACAACAGTCACTCCCAGAGCCTTCACAGTCGTCTTGATGCCTGTGCTAAGAACTGCCTCTTAGGAGCAGTCTTTGTTATTTTTCTTTCTTACAAGGTTGTATTAGTATTTATGGTTGGTCTTTTACTTGGGAGAAGTCTTTTCTTAGTGTAATTTGCCAAAAGTGGCTTTATTTGAACATTTTTTCTTAAAAAGGAATTGTTATTTTAAAATGACACAAGTAAT